AAGCTTGTCTTTCTGACCTGATGGTGGAGGGTTCATTCTCTGAGAAGATAGAACTTAACCATAACTTTAGCAACACAATGATTTTTTCCCCCCAAATATGGACTCAAGTTCTATGTTTCAAAAAAACGGTGAGGGATTGTGTTATTAAGGCGCCAGAATCTTGGACATGATTTGTTTCAAATCTTTCATTTGACTTAAACTTTGGTCTCCTGAGCAAAAGTTTTGTGTATTTTAGATCCATGCATTTTCTTCAATCACAACCCCAAGAGATCCATTCTAAGTTAATTTAGTGATATTTTTTTTAAAATACAAAATGCCATTTTTCATTTTCATTGGCCTATGGGGTGTGAATGCCTTTATTACTAATCTCTTTGGATTCATTTAAGGCCAAGAGTTTTGCATTACTAGGGACGTGGCTGATTTGACTGACAGGTGGGAGGCCTCAGCTGCACCTGTTTGATTGTTGACTGAAAGTTATAGTGAGACAAGATTTGAAATATGGGAACTGCATTCAATGGGCTTCAAAACTCCACTTCCAAAACCAGAGAGTGACTCAGACTATGTCCATGTTTCTATAAAGTCTATGGTTGCATATAAACAAAATCAGTGTGTCTTAGGATGTCAGAAGGAGCCACAGGGGGCTATATGACAATAAAAGCAATAACCCCATGATAGCTTGATAAGTAGTGTTGGAAATGTAAATCATTTTGTCTATATTTTTGTTAACATCTGGTATTGGAGGGAAACTGTGTGTCTGCCAAAACTCACGTTGGGGTTAGCTCCTGCAAATGTTAATAACAACTAGAACATCAGTGGAGCTCTACAGCAGGATTAACATGCAGAGAAACACTAAGAGCAGTGACATGGATGCTGTTAATGAACACAGTATCACTATCAAATGTAGCGTTTGTGCTTTTAAAAATGTGCTCAGCTGTCCACATACTTTTGGCCATGAAGTGCAGTCAACTGACACGGACATTTTATTGCTCTTGTTGGTCCCTGAGCATCATGGGAAACATTTGGACTGGATCCAGATCACCATTACCTTAATGTTTAATCAGGTCCGACATACATAGTTCATCTGTACTTACCGAGCTCTTTCCTGTACTTTATGACCACTGAAACACTACACCGCAGCACGCCCACACGCACAAAGACAAACACTCCCATACGCACACACACACACAAACGCACAGACACACGCACACAGTGCCAGTAACAGTGGACTCTTTAGTTGTTTCCTGTCTGATTTCTTCATCAATAATTATCACTCCATCATCCCCATCTTCATCCTATAACCTCCTTCATTTTTAGTAAGAGCACTAGTACTGCACTGTACTGTTTCAGATAATACTGCTAAAAGTGGATGTAGCCACTATGATGCTCTTGGTTAATGGACTACATTTTTAAAGCTTTTTTCTTCTACAGCAAGAACATTTTGTGGCTCTGATGGACCTTGAGTTCAGATGTTTAAGGGCAAAAGTTTTGGCTGGCTGCTTGGAAACCTCAGTGACTACGAATAACATTTTTGCAAGAAATGGTTTGCACATAAAATGTGAGTGAAATCATTAAATACTGTACTCGAGTACTTGTACGTCACAGGTTTCTCCATTTAGTGTTCTTTAATAATAGATTAAAAACCTCTCTTTGACAGTTTTAGTTTATTTTTTAAATCAGGATTTTACACACTATGAAGAGGTTCACAAGTATACATTGGCATAAATAACAATGACGAAGTATGCAAATATGTGGAGCCCCTAATGTCCCAAAGAGTTAACATTTGTATAATATAATAACTTGTGTGCAAAATATAAATAACTTTTCCACTTAAGTTAAACATTATGCGCACAAATTAGATAACTTGTGCGAACAAGATCATTTTTGCACACAATACAAGGAATTGTAATATAAAATTATTATTAAATGCATTTTGAATTCATATTAAGTTATTTGGTTTTCTTTGTTTGAAGTTGCTAATATAAAATAACAATTCAATAAATATAATTCTGTTTTTCTATACCTGCTCTTCTCCCTCAGTGCAGCTTCATTCATCCCTGGAGGTCTGTAGGTGTGTGAGTGTGTGATTACAGTAATGTCTTAATGACAGATGACATCACACTAACAGTCAGACCATCTGTCTCCGCTCTGGGAACATGAATAAATAATAAATCCCACTTTTCATGTCAGGACATGAAGAGATGCTGTGACAGCAGCTTAGAAACACATTGACCCTGAGTGTGTTGGATATAATGTCTACATTAAAGTTTCTATTACTCAAAATAGGCCTAGCGGTTGGGGTGCGCCCCAAGGCGGGCAGTCGGGGTTAGAGTACGACCTGCAGCTCATTTCCTGCCTGCCATTCCCTGATTTCATATTCTATCCACTGTCCTCTCAGTAAAGGCATAAAAGTCCCCAAAATATATAAAGTATATATAATTAAAAAAATAATGTTTAGATTAGTAAGAAAACATGTCTGGATTGCATTACATGTTCAGGAAATCATCATTGACACCAGTTTTTAAGTGAACTACAGGCAGCTTTACGCTGTTTGCACACTGTAGTGAGTAGCTAAGTTAAAGGCACGGTTGATAATTTTGGAAAACTAGCTTGATTTTGAAAGTAGCATTCCCTCAGTGCTCCATCTCTACACCCACCCCCTCCCCTCCGTGCTCCCTCAAAAGCCACACCCCTCACTGACATGCACAAGCGCTGTTGCTCAGAAGCGTACCTCAGCTCATCGCTTGTATTGTGTTAAATTCATCTGTAAGTAAACACTAAACTTTATCATAATTCATGTTTTAAAAGAAACGTTACTATTTTACTACTCACAACGGCCGAGCTAGATGCATCTTTGCTACACTGCATAGATCTGAAATTGTTGCGTCTTAAAGTAAGCTGAAAAACATAATTTGCAAATGGTAAGCTAGCCAGATAACCAGCCAAATCGGCCACAAAAGTTAGATTAGATGGCATTATCCACTCAGGATTTCTTTGTTAGCACACTATCAATTTGTCAAAATGAGCAAGCAAAATATCGATTAATCACAAAATCAAATGATTAAAGATCGTTCATTGTTGACCCTATATAGTACAATCATAACATTTCCATTTACATACCTGCATAAATGGAATATATGTGATGGTTGAAGATCATCTGTTGATGTTAGTCTGTTGTTGCACAGCAACAGAGTAATAACCACTGGGAAGCTTGGGATAGGTTAGGCTAACCACTTGGGAGTTAGCATAAATATCACATCAATTTAAGTTCCTGGAAAAAAAAAAAAAACCTTCGCCATCAACATAAAAATCTATCCATTAGCTGCTTCACATAGTACCTTTGAAGGGGAAAAAGTTTTGACCAACCAGACGATGTTAAAACAGCAATCTGTCAACTTCCATTACATGATTGATTAAAACTAGGGCTGACAAACGTTTTCCTTTTTAAAATTTAGATTAATTGCTCATTTTAAAATAGTTAATGAGTTAATCACGTTTTTAACTGGATGAATTTAACAATTCCCTTGTTTATCATTTAAAAATACAAAAAGTGTAAGGCTTTTATTTATTCATTGTTGTACTGTCTTAAGCTGAGAGTACTTTATGTTTGAATTCAACCCTGCTGTTATTGTGAAGTAAAATAAAGGCCTTCTGGTAGATCGAAGGTTACAAAATGAATATGACCATGGAAAAAGGAACTCAGGAAAAAACTAAATGAAAACAGACAAAAAGGAAAGGTAAAAAAAAAAAGTTTGACGTCATATGACGGATATTACTTGTATGACAGAGTCTTTTTTTCTTTCTTTTTTTAAGTGAAATGAGGTACTCAAAGGCTCAGAGGTATCGTCCTTTTCCATCACTGGGACAACATGGAGACACTGCGGAGACCTATCAACGTTAGCCTAAGGGGCAAAAATAGCATGCGATCAATCACAATTTAAAAACGGAATTATTAATTACGCTGAACTAGTTAATGCTGACAGGCCTACTTGTCACATAAAAAGAAATGTGGGAAACTTACGGATTTGACTTTTTTTTTTGTATGGCAAGTTAACTTAGACAAAAAGAAAATACTTTAATATTTGTCTTAAAAAATAATGGCTGAAAACAGCAGGCAGTTAGCTTTGTCTTACAGCCTGATTTATACTAATGTGTTCAATCTACACTGTACACATATTTCTGAAGTGGGAAGAAAGCAACAAGAAAGTCAACTGCTGCTCATCAGCTTCAACTCCAATATAAAATGTTCGGTTTCAGTCACCAAAGTTTCCTGCACACAAACAATCAGAGAATGAGGCAGAACCAAAAACTGGTGATAACATCCAACTAGCGTTTGTAGTATTGCAGAGCTACACAGACAAACCAACAAGTATATAGTGCTCACAACGGCAACAGAAGCATATACTGCTTTACATTTAATAAACTGCGCTTTACACTTTAGAGGAAGTACACATCAGACTACGTACGTAGGATTCTGAGTAAGTAGAGGGCTACCTGAACCTACGGCATAGAATAACATAGACGTCTGAAACGGGCTGGAGAATGGAAGGAGCTAGTCTGTTTCAGTGAAGTGAGGAGAACATTACCCAGGCAGTGACGCTTAACCTCATTAGATGATTTTGAAGTTATAGAAAATCGCAATTTCAATGTCTGTAATAGATCGGTTGTTTACTGAACTATTGTTTGGTAAGCCCTGGTGGTCAGGACCAAGTTATTGCTCAAATATAACACATAATGCAAATTAAGAGTCTTAATGCTGTTTAAGAAAATCTTAATTATCAACAAAAAAGTTACAAAAATATTTCCAGACTTTAAATAAATTCATAAAATAACCCAATGTGTGAGGTTTCAGGTTAAAATGCGTTTATAGTGATGTTATAATTGGTTTGCTTCTTAAGTCATTTAATAAATAATTTTAAGTAAGTTTGTAGTTTATTCTCTTGTTTGCTGTAATTAAGTCAGTAGTAATTAGATGATGTATCAGGAGATAAAAACACAGTCAGTCAGAAAGAATGAGCCTGTTTATTAGCCCTCATGTTAAACATCATAATCATCCATCTGCCTCTTCCTCGGCCATCGACAGTCTCGTGGCTCGGGTTCGTACACAACTATCTGTCAATACAATCTAATAGAAAAATCTGCAGGTTACAGTTAGGACGTCTGTCCATTAGAAAAACAACAGAAACCATGAAACCAAAAAGCTCCCCGTCACCCCTTCAGGACGAGGGGTCGGGACTAGGAAGATCTACACTGTAGTGGACAGGTGATGTTGTGTCCAGTCCTGATTCTGGGACATTGGGAGGCTTGGTGTGACCCGGCTAACCAGCAACTGGTTACTGGTTTAAACCCATTGCAGGTTCTAGTGAGCACTGAGCCTGTCCACTCCAGTGTTTCTTAAAAATTATTAGGGAAGGTAACCCCCAACTACAGCTCTCCTCGCCTTGGAGCCGCCACGCTAACCAGCTGCAGGACCGTTCAACACGCCTGTGACGACAACACAAAGCTGTAATCACATGGTCCGATTACAGACGCGTTGGAAATTTACAAGTCCAATGAACTTTCTTAACGTGACGCCATCCAGACAGAGACAGAAAGACAAGGAGAAGAGATAGAGACAGTTAGCCTAGCAGTCTTGAGACTATATATAACACATACTTCTCTTTGTAAATCGGTTAGACAACATGTGAATTTAACAATTTCAAGGATAACAAAGTACATTTTTAACTGGAGAGCACCCGCCAGAGTGTGGAAATTTACACAAACCATATTATATTATCAACAAACTGAATATTCATAACTTGATGAACAGATTTAAATAGACCCCTGTACAGGAGAACTCATTATTATCATCGTCATTAATTATTATAGTCATCATCATCGTCACACATACATGAAGCAAAACCACTGATTCAATATTCAACGCAACAGCCAGATCTCCCTCAACAAGACAAACCTCTCTGTGGTCCGACACGCACACTGTTTAGCTAACACAGAAATACACACCACATAACACACAGTGCTAACAAACATTTAGCTCAGCTGGAATTACACTTCTGCAAAGACTAACAATGGTTTTCCATGATTTATGCTAGTGGCTATCTGTAGGCTAACTCACAAATCATCAAAATCTAGTAAAGTGTTGAACAAGCTAATTAGCAGATCTAAGCTCCTGTGGGAAGGTGATTTGAAAAGGTAAAGCAAAAAATAATATCTTGTTCATACATGTATAAAATAGCAACAAAACACGCATGTTGGAGAACCATAACCTAGCCTTTGTAGACAAACAACAGCTAACAAACACAACACCCAGTTAACTCACACACACCACACTCACATGAAGCTGTTGTAAACGTGTAAATATAAACCAAAGTATAACTAACTGTTTTAGAGTGAACACATATTCAGCAACTTCAGCTATATGCATAGTTTTGCCAATAAACAAACTAAAGCTAACCTGTTCATACTGCCAGCTAAGTCTTGAACGATTAGAGGAGAGTTAGGGATGATTTTGTAAAGCAGACTAACATTTACTCATTTTAATGGCAGTTTGTTAGTAAATCTAGAAGTCAACAGGGTGAACTATGTTTTTTATTGTTTTGTTTTTTATTTAATCAAAGCTTTCTCTTTAAAAAGGGGGTAATACCTAAGCTGTACAAAATTCACACTATCTACAACTTAGAGGCTTTTGCGAACGTTTTTCATTCGGTTATTTACTGCCTATATGTTTTGAGTGCGGTATATTGAAAAGTTAACTTCGCGCAAACAGCTACACATTCAGCAGACCCACATATTGTGCTCACACACACTAGACACCAATCAAACACTTCAGCCACCAAATTCATTTAACTAACAAAAACAAGTAACTTGCATGTTCAGTAAAAGCCAAATTTCAAAGCTAACACCTGCTTTGCTAACACAAACACAAACTTGTCCAGACAACACAACTTTCAATGAACCTGTACATTCAGCTAATAAAAGACAGCTAACAGAATCTATTCGACCACGTTCATTCAGCTAACACACAGTTGAGGTATCACACGTCTTTTTGCTTACACACGTTTAGCTAACTTGCGCATTTAGCTAACACGCTTGTTGAAGCCAACACAATCCTTAAAGAATCGATAACTTCATTGTTCAGTTCCTAACACTTCTCGTACGAAAAAAATCGGCAAAGTAGAAATGCAGAACTAAGATACAACAACAATAATAAAGTTTCACTCTGTAAGAAAATAGTAAATTTCCCCACTTTGTAATGACATTTGAGGTGGGGAAACGTGGTGTCGGCTGGAGGTTTAACCCTGTGGAGGACACAAAGTGTTTGACCACAGAGAGATCTGGCTTTAGACAACGCAATATAAATCGGCATTTATTCATCAGTACATCATAAAAACTAAAGAATCACTATAGAGATACAGGAATAAGAACTATCATCAAACCAAAAGAAGACAATAAACGCGTCATTGCACCTCCAAGATGGCGACTTAACAGGTAAAATTAGATCGATAACAAACAGACCCAGCGAGCACAAATTTAGTACAAAAACAGTTTTGTCTCTGACGGTAAAACATTAAATTTCCATCTGATGCTATTAAAATATTTCTATGCCAAAAATAAAAAAAAATAACTGAGAGTCAACACACAATCTGACGCATGCTTTAAAACATTATCATAAACAAAATAATAATAATAATAATATCTGATTTTCTTACTCAAGACTGCTAAGCCTTATACCGTTTTCTTATTGGAAAATAAAACTAGACAAAATATAGATTATACTGGATTTTTTGTTCAAAGCCACACTGATACATCTTTAAGTTCAAGTTTGATAAAAAAAAAAAAAGAAAAAACAGGTCTACACTGTGGAGAGACCAGAGGCTAGTCCAAAAAAATCTGCCTGACAAAATATCGACTTTGTAAGGTTAAAAAACAGAAAGAAAAGAGTTCGTGATTTTTCAGTTAATCCTTAGTTTTCTCTACAAAAAGAAGGAGGAAGCGGCAGAGCGTTGCAAGGAAACCCTGATTCGGTTGCCTTCGATGACCATCCGAGGCCTTCACCGGTGAGGGAGGAGTCTCTAGTGATCCTAAAGACACAGGAAATGACATCATCGTTCAATGTTGCAGTCATTATGTTAAGATTCATCTCTAATGGTCTAATAGAAACCCTGTTTCAGGAACATTTTGATTAAAACAACAAACAAAACAGATTCATGATCAGATTCTGTGTTACCTGTATCTGGGCAGGGTTCCACAGGTAGGGCTGCTGTCTGTAGTATTCTGCTAACGCTGCAGTGTAGTCTGGCACCGAACTCTGCTGAGACGACTGACCTATTGACAAACACACAGACGAGGGCACAATCACATCACTGTTAGGGATTTAATAATAAAGTGTTACTTATTTAGAATGCTGTTTGTGACCTCCTAAAGTTTTATACATACTTTGTTTTAATCAAGGCTCAACAATTTTTTTCACATATGCACTCCTGAAAATATCTAGAGAATTTCAGTTGTACTGCTCCTGAAATTCTCCTGACACGTATGTACTTAACAGCAGGAGACTATCCTCGTCGATGGGAAGGGTCTTCTTAGGTAAAATATGACATAACAAAGAAGACGCAGAAATAGCAAACAAAGCACCAGACTCCGCTTTTCAACGCTATTATGAGAATATCTTCCTTTATTTCAATGCTTCCATAGTTAAACAGAATTACACTAGCCACAATAGAGCGGAGAAGAAAATACTGATGAACAGCAATCGTAAGGGAGCAATTTAATCTTGACACAGAGATCGTAGCGGTCACATGCTTACAGCCTATGCACAGTGCACTGGTCACAGCATATACTGTAAATATCACCACCAAGATTTGACAGGAGACACTCTGGATAATGTCAGAGTGAAAGATTCAGCTGTTTGTGTTTAACACACGCAGCTCCTCCTTCATACATCAGGAGTTTTCTGTGTTAATAGCCCTATTACAGAGCTGTGCTGTCACAAGAAAGAAAACATGATCGAGACAAATCAAGACCTTCCTCATGACTTACTTGATTACTGTTAACTCAATTCACCTTCAAAAGTGATCACTTTCTAAATACATTTTTAACCGGAATGTCTGGATCTGAAGTTATTGAAGAAAACTCAAGTTGTCTTAATTAATACATATCTTTTTTGTAGTTCACTGACATTTTTAGCTTTATCACAAGCCGTTTCTTCAAACAGGAGCTAATTTGTAACAGTTGAGCAGAGTGGAAATAGTTTTGCTCCTCAAAATGTTTACGTTTTTTTCATTGGGACCGTTAACACTGAAGATGAAAGAAACAAAGTAAAGAAATATATTTCTATTCAGGGTGGTTTACATGCTCTGTGTGATGGCTAAGTGTGTTATTTATGTGATACTAAATGTGAAAGACAATAACATAAATACACTTACTCTGTTTCTTGTAGTAGTCCTCCCAGGCCTTACTGTAGTCCGTCATCAAGCTCTGAGGCTGGTTCTGCTGACCTACATTACATTCAAACAGTCAGTAAGTCTGACAGTGTTTGTACTGAACTCACTGGATCATCGCCGTCACACTGAGCATCAAAAAGCTAGTTCATCAAGGCCCAAACCATTACATCAACATTATCCTCATCAAGAATAAAACTGGGCAAATCTACTCAACAGCACTTTAAAACCAAAACAAACATCAACCTGAGGAAATGTTCTTAATGACTATTTCAAAACACCACAGCTGGAAATGAAGAAGCACAGCCAGTGCTTCTGTAAGGCCAGGTACCATAATGTGTGTGAAGGAGTTAAAGTCATCAGACAACATAGCTTAAAAAAGTTTATACCAGGAATGGGTTAAAATTGTCAGTTTTTTTTAACGTCTTCAGGCAATGCTCAATCCTTTCAGATTTCAGGAAAATGAGTGCAGCAAAGTTGCATGAGAAAAACACAAAGGAAGATTCATAAAAATGCTGATTCACCCGTTTAGATCGCATCAAACTGTAAAGTGATTGGTGTGAGCATGTTTGATAAATGCTGATTTTTTTGTACCTATGCACATTCTACATTTAATTTTTAAAAGCAAAAGAACATTTTCTACAGACTGTTGATAAATGAGGTCCCTGGGATCTAGTGTTACTTTTACACATTCCCCAGTTAGCTAAGCATTTTCAAAAGTTGTCTGTTATGATCGACTAGCTTAGCACCAAGCAAGGGGAACATTTTCCTAGAGCTCTACACAACCCTTGCAGACAAAAGGGGCGGGTTACATATTAACCAAGTCCATCCAATCCTGTCCACTCAAACACTGTGGTTATATGTTAATGTTTTCTCATTCATTCAGTGAAAGTGTAATACGTTCCTTCATTGTGTGGCTCTTTTTTCAAGCAGTAGGCAAAAACAAAACAAAAATCAACAGAGTCCTTATGATCTTTTTAAGGAGGTCATACATACAGAGAAAGCAGCCATGTTACATTTTTTGTATGCCACAGTTTTTCACGTTATCTGTGTACAAAGTTAACCCCCCCTGAATGATATGCAGAACAGCAGGCTTATTTTCAATAAAGATAAGTGTGTGTGTTACCAGGATCTTGTTGTCCAGGGTTCTGCCAGCTGGTCTGGTAGGTGTTCCCCCAAACACCAGTCAGGAAGGTCTGCCCGCTGCCACAGCTACACACACAAAATAAACACTTTTCACACATGCACTCCCAAAAATGTCTACAAAATATCAGGACAGCCTGTTCCTGAAATCTGCTTGAGTTACTCTATCACACAGAGCCTTCATAGTGGAAGATTTTCACTTTCCAATGGGAGGGTTCAGGAGGTAAGACATGACATAAAAAAGATGCTGCAGAAGTCACAGTGTAATGTTTATAATATATCCAACATGGTGGACCAACCAACCAACAGTCTATTTTTGCCTTCACAGTATCAATGAAAGAGTGAAAAAGAACACACCAGCGAGCAAAGAAGAGTATGAAGCAGCTTCATGTCTAACAGTGGAGAGTTGTGTGTGTGCATGTCTTACTTCTGGTGTGTAGCAGGGCCCTGGGTGAAGGGACTGAAGCCAAATCCTCCGTTACTCATGATGCCTGAACCCTACAAAAGAGACGACAGACCAAGCAGAGTTTAATCTCCTTCTTTCAGTCCTGACAAGTTCTGCTTGCACCATTTTATACAAATTCAACATTTTGAGAAAATAACCTTTATACAGAACTATTTTCAAATTCAAGGTCATGCCTCATGATAATAATATAGACATGTCATAACTTAACAGTTTTTAAATATATTCATTAACTAAATTCATATGTGTTAAACTATAGTGAATACAAAATATTAACTATATCTTAGTACGATGACTGTTAACCACTTACATCCTTCATTTTCTGGGTTCATGTCCTCTGGGTTTGTTTCTGTTTACAGATCTGCTACTTGTGGCACAAATCTTAAAGGCAAACTGGGATCACTGCTTATTTTTGTTAATATTTGTTTCTTAATTACTTAATGAAATGTATTACTTTAACCTCATTTTCATTTCATGTAGTAAGTTGCAGAGACATTATGACAGAGATACTTTAGATTGGTCTGTTGTTCTCTGGTCTGTCTTTCTGCTGCTAAAACATCAGTGAAGTTGGTAAATTATGCCCAGGCCCAAAATGTAGCCAGATTTAGCTGGCCTGTTGTACCAAGTAATTAAAAGGCATAAAACATGGCTGCTTTTCTTGGGATCGTTAGTTGTTTTTGTCTTTAGTTATATTTTCTTTAATTTCTTGCTGTCCTTCAATTGGCACGATAACAGAAAAAATAGAAATAACCTCAAGAACGCACACCATTTCTGATTAAGTGAACAGAGCGAGCAGTCCAATCCATTTCCAATTCATTTTAATTCCATTTCACTTCAATTGTTGCTAAAATCAAGTACCATGTATGCAAAGGATGCATTTAGACATCTATTTAAACTTTGACTGGTTTGGGTCTTACTTACAGTCAAACTCTAGACTGAGTGAGAATAAAACTGGATTATTTTGACTGGTGTACTAACGGAGGTGTGTTTGATTTATAACTCAGCTTAAAGTCAGTGTAAAGTTTATTTTTATTCTGTTGGTGTATTTTTGTTTTACGTACCCCAATCTTGTCGTCTATGAGCTGGCGGGCCAGGTCCATCTGTTGGGCGGTGCCTCTGATGGTGAAGACCCGGGTGTTGGGGTCAGTGGAGGGGGGAGGGTTTCTCTGCAGCTCCACATGAGCCCCAGACTGCTGGTTAATACTCTTAATGGTTTCTCCACCTACGAACAAAGTGTTATAAATCAGAATTGACTTCAGGCAATTAATGCTTTTCAGTCGATGTTCTTGCCATTCTTTCCTTAGATTACTTTTTCCTACTCCTCAGACTTTAATAAAACAGTGGTTCACCTGTGGTAATGTGGCAGAGGGGATATGCTGACCGACTGCAAAGCACAAGAATGTCTTCATCACAGTGCACAAATGTTTTTTTAATTTGTTTATTAAAATAAAATAATCTTTAATTATCAAGTTGACTAAATATAATGGAGGATGAGTAACATTAACCAGCTGGCAATAACTGTCAGTGACTGATGGGGGAGATGCAGCTTTAAGGAGTTGACTAAGTGCACAAAGTGACACAAAGCTTCATCCTGCCTGCTGAAATCATTGTGCAGTGTTATGACTGAAGTTACTAAACAGAAAGGACAGAACCTCCGACCAAAGAAACCTCTTTTACCAGAACTCCTGATATCTTTAAGCGGCATTTCAGATGTCTCTTACATTGAGAGATAGTCAGAGTCAAACAAGCTCTCACGACCTAAACTACTCTGTTAGGTTTAGATGAGGGGGGCAGCAAGAGGAGGGGGAGTCGTCAGTACTACGTCGTCATCATCATCACTCCTGTAATTTCCAAACATTGTACATGTGGTGTGCATATGTGAACTCAAACTAACAAATCTGTTCACTATGACTTTATGTGGACTTCTTCCTGACTGCCCCCCAAAAAAGTCTCCATGAAGGTAAGGCGATGTGTGAGAGTTGACGGGGGGAATGTTGAGCAGAACTGGTAATGTTGAGCAGATTTTCTCTGCTTTATACCACCCTATAGGCTGTTTTGATTGTGAAACACCCGTATACATGTTGTATTAATATTAATGTAGAAACAGTCACCATTACTAAAGACTCTTCCTTCTGAACGCTCTACCTAGCTGCCCCCCCCATCACCACTTACGTCGACTCAAACTGAGTATGTCCAGTTGTGAGAAAGCATCCGACAGTGAAAAGTTCCTGCTGTGAGGTGCATGTGTTAAAGGCAATTCTGGAAAATGTGAGGTCCTGAATTATCTACAAAATGTGATGAGTTCATGGGTGAAAAGGACTTAAGAGTGTGCATCCTGGACAAATCCTCCTCCTGCTGCTGCAGTTCAGCAGAATATCCTGAGGTCATTAACTCTTTGTTAACCAAATGAGGAGACCCGTAATGGACCTTGTATGAGGTAAAGGGAAGGGGAGAGAGTGAATAAATCTCCATTTAGTTCAGACTTTATCAAGCGTATATTGTGTTAAAATTTAAATCCTAAAACTCTTCTATGCTTTAGAGTTCACCCTTTTATTTTCAGCAGCATTTCAACATTATACTGAATAAAATGTGACTTTATAATGTAGAATGTTTGAAGTTTTTGTCATACACATGTATGCGTTTTCAGATCGTGTTTTCTTTAGTCTCAGTAGATTAAAGCGCAACAGCCAGCTGTGATTTATTTGAATACTAATATGCAAGTATTGCACATCTTATGTGAATGAAACCGAATGTATGGAGGAAATATAAGGGCATAATACATTAACTGTCAACTATGTTACTGTGTTCAAACTAATACATTAGTACACGATTGTATTTCTTCATAAATACAGATAACCACATTATATTATACTCTTGTGCTTCTTGCTATACAAGATAGTGTTGTGTTTCTTATATGCCTTATTGAAATATTTGCCCACTAAAATACATTTTCTTTTTTAAAATATTAATGCAATTCATTCAAAATAAAAAAAACATTGTGTTAAATGACACTGTGAACTGCCCACTTTAGTGTGTGTGTGTGTGTGTGTGTGTGTGTGTGTGTGTGTAGACAGTTGCACATTCATTGGTATTGTCCAATAGAAAGTCCTGACAAACAATAGACCACCAGACACACAAACAGGCCATATGGTGCCTTAACATTGGGTACTTGACATTTCTTTTTTGCTGCTGATTTTATCTTAGAAGCTGCTGCTCAATCCTCTTGACCCCCCCACACAGACAGGCTGGTGAATAGATGTTGTCTTTAAGTGGTTTTAAATAGAGTATACTGGTAATAAAAGGCACTGATGGAGCCCTCATCCTGAGGTTTTTACTTTATTCGCTGCTGACATCATGTGAAAATAAAGACCAAATCAAAACTTTTGATCATCAGTTGCACCTTTTGTTTAAAACCATTTTGCATTATTGAGCACACTGGTGATATTTATATCGATAGAATGCCAAACACTGAACAGACAATACTGTAGATAGGTGTAGGAAATAAAACCTTTTTACTTCAAATGTTCTACAAACCAAATTTCATTCAGAAATTCGGAAAATGATACAAGTACAGAAGTTGAGTCTAAAATATTGCTGGTCATTGTGGTTTTTATGTCTGTACTGCAGGTGAATGACTACTGCACTGCTTTCTTTTATTTTCTAGCTGTGTTTCTTTACTTTGTTTCATTCTGCTTCATTCAAAAAGGCGACACAAAGAAAACAGTGATAACCTGTTCAAATATCAAATATTTGTAAAAGAGTACAAAACAAACATTTGCAAGATGTGAATACGTTTGTGGAAAAAGTCTTAAAAGAAGTTGTCAGACAAAAAAAGATTTCCCTTCTACCTTTGCCGATGACCAGGCCACACTTGTCAGCAGGGATGGTGTAGGTCACTTCCTGAAGTGGACCAGGAGAGCCCATAGTCCAGTCACCACGCCCTCTGACCCTCCCACTACGCAGGGCAGAGCCAAAACCATCACGCTCCTAAAAAAAACCAAACACACTCACATAATGAGAAGAGTTCAGTGAAAACGCCTCCATCTGTGTTTGTGTGTAGGGGTTGTTTCTTTGTTACCTGAGCAGTCTGGATGAGCTCATTGATGAGGTGGACAGCATGCTGACAGCGGTCTGGCTGACCCATCACCATAGCAACACGCTCTGGGCTGATGCCATCATCTGTAAGAAACGCAGAGGTTAGAGGGTGGATCAACATTCTGTAATCTGAACCTGTCACAAAGACACAGGACCTAGTATCTGGGTTAAATAAGTGCAAATATGAAAGTTCCTCCTTTAAGGGGCTTTAAACTTGAGTGAAAAACTCTAGGTTAAAATCTTTGTCAAACAGGGTTGCTGGTTTGTCGCTGTTTACACAAACTACTTTATGACTGGCTTATATTATGTTAGTTTAAACTTGTTTATTGCGATGTAAAAAGACCAGTTTGAAGAGGATCGTTTTGATTCAAACAGGTCAGCATGATGTGGATTTAGTGTAAAGAGACCTGCTTTAAACTGGATTCGGACCCCGGCATCATTTTGGATCTTTTTTATCATTTCTCCATTCCTGCCTATCACGATTCCCACAGCAAACCGGGGAACTGGAACCTGCAGAGGGACAGACTAGACATGAATGTTTCTTTTAAAACATGTTTCTGATGGACCCTTTTCCATGCAAGCTGCTATAAATGTTAGTAGTGTGTGTTTGTCTGTGTATGTCGTACGTCCAGGCTGGTTCCGCCAAGTCGAGCGCTGAAGTCATTGCGCCCTGACCTGAAGTCTCCATCCTTCTCCCGGATCACCTCCAACACCAACTCTCTTGCCGCCTGCAGGATGAGGAGAAAGGAGACAGAAGAGGATCAGGGGTGCAAACTTGTCACCTTTCGGCGAAATTCGCCGTTTTGGATCCCAAATAGGTAATTTGTGTGATTAATTTAGATCTGCAATAAAAATATCTGGAGGGGGTCTATGACGCGAGCTGTCATGCTTCATGCAGCAGGCGAGCACGGTCCCTGCGAAAATCAAGTCGTTTCATACTGATTGCGGTCAGAGTGGTCTGATTGCTCAACACTGCCCGAAGTACTTCCGGGCCCTGTAGCCAAGCATTGCAACGAGGTCGGCACGAACCCGTCCGCGTTGTTACAAAATCCGACAGCACTGGGCGCTCAGAACCGCCGTGGACTATTCTCGGGCCAACCGCGATTGCGCAATATCGCCGCGCCAACTGCAAGAAGCATGAAACCTGATTCAATGAGTTGCAATGTGCAGCACATCACTTATTTACATAACGTTATTTTTCCGTGAAAACACTGTGGAAAGATTTGAAGTCTGGCTAGCAAGTCAGCCTTTCTGTTATACATACTGTCTGAAAAGACAGAAAAAAATACTAAAGGGCTGGCAGGAGAAACTCCTGATAAAGTCAGAGTGAAAAATGTGGTTGTTTGTTTTCACACATACCGCTCACCCCGAAATCCTTCTGAGTTTTTCAGGAGTTTGTGCAAGTGTGAAAGCACTAATGGTCAAACTTTTGCAAGTGATAATACATGCTTTGCTTTCTATATAAAAACAGATTCCAATGCGAAGAGAATCCGACCGGATTACAATAAAGCTCAACTGGGGTCTCTACCTTGTCAATGAACCATCAGCCTCAATTTGTTAAAAGGTAGAGAAAGCTTGACTTGTGTGAGGATGAGGATTTGTGGTTAACCTAGGTTAACCAGAGACTAAAACCGTTTAAGCCAGTGTGGTCATAACCGTCTTAGCTTAGCACGATTTGTTTAGAGCAGGTATCAACGTGCCGAGGAGAGAAAGAGCTTGAGGGACCAAACATGCTTTTTTACCTGCACTTTGTATGGATCACCAGAGATGCGGAGAGGTTTATCTGCTCCTGTTGGCATCGGACCGTCCTGGATCATCATCATCTTCACCCCAGCTCGCTCCTGTCATTCAAACACAAACACACAACATAAATGAGACATATGAAAGGGGTGGATAGCTTGATTGTTTACACTCACCTTACCCAGCAGTAAGTGCCTGATCCTACCTGAAGCTGCTTGATGGTGTCTCCTCCTCGGCCGATCACCAGCCCCACCTTGCTGGCTGGGATGAGCATCTCCTGCACAGACGCCCCTCCTTCCCCGTCGCCATGAAAACCAGGACCATTTCTACAGCGATCCACTATCTGGACCAGAAGCCTCTTTGCCTGCCTGTAAACACACATAAAGAAAGTGAGCAATAGGAGGGGCTGAGGAGGCGACTTCATTTTTTAAGGGAGAAGTGGATGTGTTGAAACTCACTCAATGCTCTCAGGAGTTCCAGTCAGGGAACATGGTCGCTCCATCAAACCACCGCTGTCTGTGCCAACACATAAACAACAGTGTCATTTTGTGCAACACAGCTCAACAGACAGGTTTCAACTATTCGCCTCAAAATATGTGTTTCCATGCTGTGTTTTATATTTTCCTCAAAATGTATCCAGTTGGTGTGAAGTGTCTAAGCTTCTGACTTTGAATTAAATCATTTTCATAACTCTGATTTAATCAATAAATTAATTAGAAATGGAAAAAATGATTAGTCTCTTAGTTCAAAAGTATGAGGAAAATAAGTTGTCTTTTAGTGCATGTTTTACAAACGAACATTCCCAATAGACAAGCAATATAAGATTAAAATTTGGATCATAGACCTGAAACAGAGACTTTCATGAAGAGAAGCATGAAAAATGAAAGATAGTCTCACCAGCAGCGATCTGGATCTTGCAGCCAGATTCCAACTGGATCCTGGTGATTTGTTCACCTCCTCTACCGATAACTGCAGGAGCAGAAGAGGAGAAATACACTTTTTCAAGACATCTTGGAAAGACCCACTAGAAGTTCATGGTCATAATGCCTGTTGGCTGCTTCATCGTATATGTTATGGAGCCAAATTGAACAATTCCTAAACCAGGTTATAATTTGAGTCAAGTTCAAAGGTTTTAGGTCGAGAAAAATGTTCATCAGCTAAAAGAGTTTCCAGAGGTATAATGGGTGCTGGGTCAGTTTATAAAGAGTCAGCTAGAAATTTAGAAATGGCTCTAAGCCTGGTGAAAATGTGGGGTTTTGTTAACATCTACTAAAGATGAGGTAAAAAGATATATGTAAGCTCAAGAGAATCCATTCTATCTGAAGGAAGTGTTGGTTTTACAGCCACTATAAAGCGTGCAAGCTAGTAAGATAGTCTGATTAAGTTTAATGATAAGGACAAGGATCATGATCAAATCAAGTTTAAGTTAACTTAAAGGGTTTAAGGTTGAAAGAAATGCCTTTTGGTTTGTTTCAAAGTTCGAGGACAGATAGAATTTTTACTCTAATGAAACACTCTTGCTCATTGAGGCTTAGGTCAGGATACGTTCTGGATGATATCAGCAAGGTACTGACCTTGGTTGTTTACTTTTTATAAACAGTAAAAAAAAAATATTTCCATGCATTCTGCTAGAAGAGATTTCAGTAAGCACAGTATTTGTGCAATGTTATAAGTAGGGCTGGGAATCTTTGTATGTCTCATGTTCGATTCGATATCAATTCGTGAGGTCACCATTCGATTGAGAATCAATTTTCAATTAAAAACGGTTCTGGACTCATAATTCAAAGAATATTTTTGAATTAGTACATACTTCAGGATCTACTCCAGTCATCTGTGAGACTGGCTGAATTTCTTGTTGCTCCATTTGGCATTCTACTGAGTGAAAGAGCTAGCCTTAGCACTTAGCAGGGAATGACTGATTAGCCAAACATATTTTTTTGGAAGTAATGAATTTCAGAAGATAATCTCAAATTTTTCATAATTGATTTTTCCCCCACCTCTAGTTATAAGGGGAAATCATTTTGGTTGTTCTGGTAAGTAACTTGCAATTTGATGAAAATCGTGATGATTTTTCCCCCCCAAATCAACCACAACTATTCCCAATGCAGTAAATGCTGTGAGTCTGAATCTCAGTCCAAGTCATCAGTGCTCAAGTACAACAACACCGGTTTTAGATAAGGAAAAGGCTTTAGGTCTGGTGACAAATATCAGATTTCTGTCATACAAGTTGTGCATTAGGTTAAGGATCCAGATAAAAGCTTCAATGTGAAACAGGTCAGTATAAGGCTCTAGTTTAGACTTCTGTGTTGCGAAAAGGTTTTAGGTCAGCTGAAAACATTTAAGGTCAAAAGAAAATTTTAAGTGGGGGAGTAACTGAGGAAAAGTCTAGACTCAGTGGAAAGGTTCCAAATTGCTTTAAAGTAGGGATGCACCATCGTATCTGTTCATCAGCCAATATCGGTCCTGCTAACAGACGCTGGCCCATAAGAAACTAATATGGCAAGCATCAATGTGTATCTGTTGTGTTGCATCAATTAATTATGGCAAGGTAGTCAGAATCAGAAGTTTTTTATTGACTAGTAAGTCTATCTAACTTCTGATTCAGAGTAGAGGATTTTCATTAGGCAGAATAAGTCACTGATTTGTTTTCAAACATCAAAGAAAATGCCAGCAGTGTGGGAGCCACTCGTATTCAAAATGTACCAACAAAATTATTTTGAACATCGGTATCAGCTCTGTTTTTGGCAATTAAATGAAAATATTCAAGCCACGATGATGACTAGGTTCTAGTCCCAGTATAGAATCAAGGTTAGGAGCAAAGCTTTAAAGAAAGTTCATGCTCGTGTAAAGCTGATAGAACTCTAGCTCAGGTTAAAGGTTTTAGGTTATATAGCATGAGAAAACATGATACATAGAATTATATTATAGTGTTGATTTGACAGCCAAGCATTTAGACAAAATAATCAGCAGGAGGGACTGAAAGGTTGTAGCTCATACTTACTGAACCCCACCATTCTGTCAGGGACCTTGTAATCCTCTGTGATTACTCTGCTAACACACACACACACACACACACACACACACACACACACACACACACACACACACACACACACACACACACACACACACACACACACACACACACACACACACACACACACACACACACACACACACACACACACACACACACACACACACACACACACACACACACACACACACACACACACACACACACACACACACACACACACACACACACACACACACACACACACACACACACACACACACACACACACACACACACACACACACACACACACACACACACACACGTTAACATCCTGTTCACACAATAAACCATCACTAAGAGTGTGTGTGTATGTTTATATACTGTAATAAACCATCACTAAGAGTGTGTGTATATGTTTATATACTGTATGTGTCAATAAGTTATTATGTTTATGATTAAGACTGTAAGATCTATAAACACTTATCTGCTGTTACACCCTGAGCCCCACACACTGATGTCTATTTGCAAACAAGACTATGATGTTGAACTCTCATCATTTATCTGTGCTGCTGTGCTCTGTGTGTGTATTGTTAATCAATATGAACTGCTGCTTGTACCTTTGATGCCCCATGGCTGCTAGCTGGTTACCAACTGAGAGAAAAAGACAGAGATTAGACATGAAAACACTTTTAGGTCCAGTATAAGTGATCTGAGTGGTTGACTAAAACTAGCAGTGATTATGGATGGACAGATTGTTTTGGTAAGACAGGAGAAGACATGGTTACTGCACCAGAAATATTTTACAATATCTCATTAAGGTTGTTAACATTTTTAAAATTCAACTTTCTATGAAACCAAGTGTTTGTAAAACGATACATTCTGTTATTTTTAATAAGTGACAGGGTAGAAAAGCAGGAAAGCTTAGATCTTCAGTCATATTTTTAATCATAAGCTGCCGCTAGTAAAAGAGAGAGAAACCATACTGAAAATTTGCCAACAGATTTGTGCAATTTAGACATGGTGATGATGAAAATAACGATGGTTTTGATATTACTGATGATGATGACAATAGTAATGACATTTGTTCTGTTTGATAACTACGATTTTAAGATGGTTTCATTGTTTATTTTTTTATATTGTCCTCCTCACCGCCATCCTCTCCGGGTCGTTTCTGGCCAGGGTAGTACAGGGAGGGCTCAACACTTCCTGAGGAGCTGTTGAGGTGGGACATGGCTTCTCCGCCCATCTTTCCCACGATCTGACAGAAAAACAAACCAACAGAAACAGCTGTAAAACCTGGATATGATAACAGACTGAAGCTCAGATGGATACGTAGCGCAATGCTAACACAGGAGGGAATCTAGACCAAGTTGCAGGGCTGGACGATATGGGGCAAAAATCACACCTCAATATTTTTTTAGCTGAATGGCAATATACAGTGTGTGTGTATATATATATATATATATATATATATATATATACACACATACACATACAAAATGTGAAACATTTGATATCATATTGTTTAATAATATACGTCATAATGGAATCATTGGAAAAACTTTAAAACACGAGTTTCACCTGTATCAGTTTAAAGACTTTAATAAAAAGGTACTGCTGATACATTTTGTTAACAGAGCAGACATACAGGCAGAGATAAGGAGAGGCATGGCCGGAGAAGCAGCTGTGTGAGTGCTGAAGGCTGGGTGTGAGTGAGTTTGTGTGTGAAATGATGAAAATAGAGTACTGGTAATTTATTTATTTTTATATTTTCAATAAATAACCACAGAGAGTTTAAAATGGGCTAAGGCTCAAAACATATTTCCAAAATAAATAATCGGTGCCAATCATTTTTTTTTGATAGTGTGAAGGCCAAAATCGTGATCGCAATATTTTTTTTTGTAATTGTGTAGGCCTAATAATCCATATATTAGTGTGCATATATACGAAATCCTGGATTAACTGAATATTTGTTTCTGGTTTTGCTTACATTTTATTTTGCATTTAATAATTTCAACATACTCCAGAATGTGATTAAGTTCTAAAACACATGGTCATGCAGTGAAGGAGAGGGGTCATGACAAAGTTCATCAGACATAGAGCGATAACAACAGTAACTTAATGCGTGCTTTATATTTTATTTAACGTTTATTTATCCAGGATAGTCCCACTGAGATCAGAGATCTCTTTTTCAAGAAAGACCTGACCAAGACCTGGCATGTGCACTGAACGCAAGGAGAGAGAGAGAGAGAGATATATGGGTGCTGCAAGCAGAGCAGGAGGAGCAACGGTGTATCTGTGTGTTTATGTGTGCGTTAGTGACTAAGAGTAACGGAGAGATGAGGAGCTGATCCAACAACGAGCCTAACGATAGTCTGACCCAAACAAAGCAGTGAGTTACTCAGTCTTTGAAGACTAAGCCCTTCGTTTATAAAGATGGAACCTGTCTAATAAGTTATATCTATACTTCTTCAGTGCTAAAATGCAGGCTATAATAATGAGTAATACTACTAAATAACAGTAAACTGTATAGCACTTTTCTTAACACGGTTACAAAGTGCTTCACAAAAAATACAGAGATGTAAGGAAGGCAAATTAAACAGCTGACAAATTAAAAAATAAAGACAGGTTTAAAAAAAACAAATACTACGTAAGATAAAATTAAGAATGTAGAGCCCCACTACAAGTAAAAGTCCTGAGGAAAGAAGTTACAAATATCTAAGTAAGCAGTTAGCATACACATGCAAGAAATGCAAGAAGATATGATTCGAAAATGGTTGCTGCTGACTTTAATCTAGTGCGACCCCCTTCCGCTGCCAAAAATAAATCATTGATCGTTTAAACTAAAATCCAACAGCCAGAATAATAGACAACACAGATCAAAACTCAACACCTGGGGCTCTCATTTGTTACTCTAGACCGAAATGTATTTTTGCCCACAGCCATCTTATTAATTACAAAATACAATATTGAGCAGGATATCTAGTTTAAACCCAATATAAGAAGGTTTCCAGAAAAGTATCTAAAAAATATATTGAATTATGATTAAAACTAAAATTGTATAATGTTTAGAAGCCAACTTTCACTTTTATTAGACCCTCTTTTACATAGGAAGAAGGCTTTGAGGATTTGGGTTTCCACTGGCTTTAAAGTTCATATCATGTAAAATACACTTTACAATGGTTGAAATCATATTCCTGGCCTGTCTACAAACCAGACAATTTAGAGAAAAGCCAATCCTCGAGGTCTTTTGTCCTGCTCCACTTTTCAGAAAATGTGTACTCAAACAGGCTGTTTGGAGATTTTCCTTTTATGACATCACAAAGGGCACCCCTCCCCAAGGTGGGTGACACTCCCACACCTAGGTTTTTGTTCTGCACTCTGAGGGAGCGGTCACACTGGCAATCCGTACCGTGCCATACTCAAGCACGATTGGCCCCCCTCTGCGCCATTCCCCAGTCACACTGCACCAGGACTATCCGTGCGTAAGCATGATTACCTCGGCATGGAGCGGTCACACTGGCCAAACGAACTGGACTTTAGGGTTGAAGCGGGCTTGGTAGAGGTCTAACGGTACACAAAAATTTTGGTTCGGTACAGTTCTCAGTTTTGAAGCATCAGTTCGGTACATTTTTAGTAAAGTAAAAGGGACCTGATGCAACACTTTTTTTTTCTTTAATAGGAACATTTAGAATTTCCCTTTTACACCTTGGGCTAAGTGCAGCATCGACAGTTCAGACTTGTACACCTGCTCAGGTTACTTTTTAATAACATTTTAAATAAAACATTGTAAAAAAAAAATAACCTTCAACCAAAAGAGTTTCCAATAAATAAAAGATATGAATGAAATAAAGCATTTTAGAAGGAAATGAAGTAATTAATATAGCCTATATGTAAAAATATTTATTTTTAATTACAGTGACACCTTTTAGTTATTAAGCCAACAGTTTTTTGAATACCCTTTGAGCACATAATAAACCTAATCACATCTGGGACAGTATAGTTTCATCGCAGAACTATTAATATTTCCCTCTGTCGATATAAGAACTTCAATGGCATTTGTTGGCTTTGGCCCGTTCAGAATTACTAGCAAAAGGCTGTCTGTTTTTTCCTAGTTGCAGTGATGTTTACGTTCGCATGGTGCCTTTTCAAGTGCTTTAATAAGTTGGATGTGTTGCCTTCATCCACCCTGAGGTGTGATCCCCCTATGCGGTCCGTGTGGGAACACAAATTAAAGCACTTTTGTTCCGCATGTACTTGGATCGGTCCGCGTGCGTACCGGACCGAAAGCCCTGTACCGAAAAGGTCCAGTCCGAGTACAAGTACCTTTACACCCCTTGTGGTTGGCCATTGCCAGTGTGACCGCACCCTGAGTCTACCTTCTCAACTTAAACAATAGGGCATGGCGCAAGAAAGCCCAAGCCACCAAAGCCCTTCCAGAGGGGCGTGGTCAAATACAGCTCACTTGCCTTTAAAGCTATAGACACAGAAACAGCCTGTTCTGAGCAGGGCTGAAATAGAGGGGTTTATGGCCTGATTCGTACAGTGGCCTAAAGCAGGGTCAGGCCAGTACCTCCCACTTGCAAATGGACCCAGGCTGGGCCAGGTCGATCTTGAGGTTAAAAGGCTCTTATTCTGAAAAAATTAAAAAAAAAAAAAAAAAGATGCTGTAAGAGTCTCTATAATAATCCAGGGGCTTCAAGCTAAGGGAGCCGAACACAGAAACAGAAGAGCGTGAAGCGCACAAAGTTCAACACAGGAAACGGGAAGCAGCAAGTTGGGCAACAGGGAAACAGTTCATTTCAGCAAACAATCCGAACTGGAAAGGCAGACGAGACAGAAACCAGGCGGAGGGTTGGAAAGCCAGACGGAGGGCAGACACACTTGGGAGCAGAACTATGGACACCCACAGCTAAGTGTAAAGGTACACTCACCCTAATTGGGAGACGAGTAGACAGTTTGTAAAAATTGTTTGTTTTTAAAGTGTTTTAATCCGTGTTTTTGGGATCCTAATAAATACGCCGTTTTTATATACAGTACATGCATGTTGCGCTCCATAAGAGTTGATATGAAAATTGTCATTTCTGCCATTGAAACTACATAACATTTGAATAAGGTTTATAAAAGCCACCTTATTTATAAGTATAAATATATTTACTTATATATATATATATATATATATAAATAAGAAAAAAATGTCAGGTTTTAGTCAGACTCAGGAACATAAATACAGATAATTGGATGGGCAGGGCCGGCTCAAAGAAAACATGCACAGGCTGGATTCTTTGGGCCCGATCTATGCTCTACTGTAATATCACAGAAGATTCATTTTGGAGCTGCTTTCCAAAACGATAAGCAGTGATAGAGAAACAGGTTTTTTTACTCTAATTAATGACCGAACATTATGCACAGCATTAAGTCCCACAAACAGTTAGCATTGCATAGTTTCAGGTCCATGTTTCCTCCTGCTTTCATTCTGTATGCTAAGCTAGGCTAACCACATCCTGCCATGATGTCTCTACTGAACATACAGGTTTAACATCAAAACCTTGCAACCACTCAACATCTTCAGCATGTACAATTCCGACAACAAAATTGCACTTCTGCTGTTAACATTTCAACTGTGGTGCCGAAATGAAAGATAATTATCATGAGATAATACTCTCACATGGATGTAAAGTACTGTACTTTTGAGCATATCTGTCAATCCAATTGAATAACTTATCATGTCTAACAAACACCCTGTCGCAGGTTACTTCAACACAGGAAGGGTATTACTCTGATACCTGCTCAGAGTACATGTTTATTTGTTTGTAAATTAAAGTAAAACACACATCTGTTGTTCTGCTTTTCAGAGGAAGTAAGTACAAACTAGTTAGTTTTTTTAAACTGGTCTATCAGAGATAGACTGAAGGGCTGTGAGGGGCAGACGAAATTCTATCTTTATAAATTAAAATACTGAGGAGGTCACAGAGGGACAGAAACACCTGCATACACCAAACTTTATCTGACTTATCAGAAATAGCCTGCTCACACACAGACAGCCTGCTGGTTCCCACTGAAACACATACAGAGGCGAGCAAATGTCCTGTCTGTGTGTGACTACCTGTCTGTCTCTGATACCTGTCTGTCTCTGTATAGGAGGCAGACACACCTCCACTCGGCTGTATATGGCTCTGAAGCTGTTGCATAACGCCAGCCTAGTTTCTAACCAACTTACAGTAAACAGCAGTCTATAAGGGGAGGGGAGGGGGGTCCAACTCTCATAATAACTACTGGAAAGCGGATGAGGCTTTAACACAGTATGAACACCCTTTAATTCACAGCTCTCTCTCTCCGGCCCGTTTAGGACGCTTTGTGGCTCATTAAAGCAAAGTAAAAAGTGTTGAGTTGTGTTCCTCCCTCGGTGCCTTTTGACCGTGTTTCGGTCTCGCAGCCCAACAGGTTGTCTTGCCTAAGTGACACGTGTGGCCAAACTTCTGTCCTGCTCCCCCCACCACCCCCGGTCCCAACGCGCTCCCCTCCGGGTGACAGCTCCGCAAACTCCCCGTAAACTAAGTCTTGAACCGTGTCAGCTCGGATAAAGTGTGTAAAAACCGGCCACAAGTCCAACTCCCAAACTGCTTTTTCGAGCTAGTTAGCATGCTAGTGTGTTTCTGTGTGAGTGTGTGTGTGTGAGTGTGTGTTGACGAGCGCATAACTTAGGATAGCAGCAGCACAACACGGGAGAATCCGAATAAAAGTGCTTTGGCTCGATGTAAACGACCCGGTTCGGCCCCGAACAGGTGTGTGCGGATCCCCAGTTGAGTTGTTACCTGTCGGGCCCTCTGTAAAACATCGGCAAGGCCGTCTGACTTCAGCCCCGGCTGGTTCATCGAGGCCTGTCCCTGCACCAGCTCCGCCATCATAGCGCCACTAGCTAACCGTTAGCTGTTAGCTGTTAGCCGGATTAGCTCGTGCTGCTAGCTGAGCTGAAGCTGCCGTCAGAGAGCGTTAAGATTGAAGAGGTCTCACTCTGAAAGGTTTTTCACAAACCAAAAGAAAGTCGTGGTCTTGACCTGCAAATCGGCGGACAGGGGAGGAGGGGTGAAGCTTTTTATGAATTACAAACAAAATCAAGACTTACTTAACGTCTGTGGATAAATACTTCTGTCTATTTTGTCTACATGAAACATTTGATTATCAAGTTGTTGTTTTTTTGCAAGCTATATGTTCAACCATTTGTAGTCTACATCTTTGAAAAGAAAAAAATGTGTTGCAAGATATTTTTCAAAATGTACTTTTTAGAAGAAAAAAAAACAAGTGAATAAAAAATTGAATAATTAAAAAAAGCCCTCCATTTAACTAGACAAAGATAGAGTCTGTAGAAAAAGATAAAACACATCGTTCGCGCTCTCTCTCTCTCTCTCTCTCTTTCTCTTTCTCTTTCTCTCTCTCACACACACACACACACACACACACACATACACACACAATCTTACTATAATAATATTTTAGAAAAATCAGGTGATCGGTTTGTAGACCGCCTGGGTTGTAATTTTATACAACAGAGTGGCTCATGATGTTATTACAGGATCTCTGAAGCTGCTCAGCTGTTGGCATCTCGCTTCTCTGTTTCCGCTTCCGCGTTCTGTCACGTGCTTCAGCCAGCTCCACAGGTGGAGAGCAAAGTAAACTTGTTGAAGAAGAAGAAAAGTGTCAAAAGTCTAAAATATTCGAAGTTTGAATCTGCTGATAACATTCATAAACAGCCATTTTCTCTCTGAGGTCACGGAGGCGTTTATTTCTATGACCTCCTTGTGTATGGCTGTGTTGGAAAATAATGTTTTGAAGCTGCTTTAATCGATAGCCCATACTGAGTACTGAAGTTATAGTCCATGGTACAGATGTGAGCTTTCTGTTTTTCAGGAAGTGTGGCCAACCAAGTAGCCTATTTTTTATCATCAATTCATCTGAATGTTAGGCTTCTTATAGCCTACCTAATTTCGTCAAGAAATATAAAATATAATACTCAGAGTTGAATCATTAGGCTATTTGAATTGAAGTTTTAGAACCTGAAATTATATAAAACGGACAAGGAATTGTTATCATTAAAATAGATCAGAAAAATAGTTGATAGTTTTCTCATTCATTTGTTTGATCATCTTATCAAAGCAGCTTTAAAATGAATGACATCAGTTGTGTCACGTGAATGGTCACAATGCAGTCATCTGACAGGATACTAACAATGCTAATAAAATCATAAAAAAAAATCCTCTGACAACCATTTAAAATCAGTTTTTATTTATCATAGACTATATCTTTAGTTTTACTTTCCTTCTAGGTAAATGTACAGAACAATTCTTGGAAAGAGCACAATTTTAAATACAGTAAGGCTCCTACAACAAGACAAATCTCAGTTATATTTTTTTTGTCAATTTTTGCCTTTATTATAGGACAGCTGAAAAGAGACAGAAACAAACAGATGAGCGAAGATGAGGCAACCACTAAATGAGTAAATAAATGTAGTTCAGAGTGAAAGCATAGTTTAACACAGAGGATTACTGATAATCTGCAATGATCCTGTGACCTCACGAGACCTCTGATGACATCAGATGACTTGTCTGACAACACACACACCTGGCAGGTGGTGTCAGATGGTCAGGTCCACCAGATGCAGTTGAAAGAACTCTGTAAGATATTATTTTGTAATTTTGAAATCTTTCTGTGAGTGATTCAAATTCTTCAGGGTTTCTTCTTCTGTTAAGGTGTGGTATCAGATTCAGAGTCATCAAGCTTCTTTCTTCCTGCTGGAGAGAAGAGACTGATTAGATGATCAATGCAATCACAATAAGGCTGAAGGACGATGTACAATACGTACATATAGACTTTACTACTGCGATGTCCCTCATTAGTTGATGGACTCTCTTTTGAAACCTTGAATTTGTCAGTACAGCTCAAGCGGGGGTGGGGGGGGATGAAGGTGAACAACATAAGTCAGGTTAAGAGAGCCATCTTCATGACACAAGAAAGTTGGGTAAGGTGCTCAACATATACCGCCCCTCCTCATAGGTCTGTAACACCCTCCAGTTGTTTTTGGATGCACATTGAGGAGGTCAGAATATTTGATGGCATTTTCATTGAACAATGATCATCAACCTGTTGGAAAACGATCATAATTCCCACTTGGAGAAAAGTGCTGCTGCTCTCTGCACTGGAAGTAATGCTCTGCTCCTGCACAATGCCCAGTGTGTGCTTCTGGTGTCAGAGACCTGTCAGATTATCAGTGCAGGCTCACTGACCCTCCTCGGGATCAGGTAATGAAGTGGGACCTTTCTAAGAGTCAGGCTCATATCATGCGGTTGTGCATTAGTGCTGTAGGTACACTGATTTCTGATAAAGAGTAGAAGGCTCAATTATGACTGAAATGATAAATGATAGGATGTTTTTTAGTTAATGTTTAGATAATAAACATTAAAGGTCACATATGCTAAAATTGCCTTGATTTGCTTATGTGTAGAACAAACAGGTTAATTATAAACTTTGAATTTAAGAAGTGGCAGTACCATGGTTCAACTGCATGTGTAAATTCTAATCAGAATTATTAATTTGGAGTTTGCATTTATTTCCTAAGAGTATTCACATTAAAATTACTTAAAAATACTGTTTCTTTAACAGGCACATGACTTATACGCACACATTTTTTTGGTAGAGTGTCCTTTTACTTTTCTATGATTATAAACCTCTTTTCAGATTCCACCTGTGACTCCTCATGGCTGAATGCACAACCTGTTCTGCCCGTCTATCTGTCTGTCGGTCTATGTGTGTGTGTGTGTGTGTGTGTGTGTGTGTGTGTGTGTGTGTGTGTAAAAAGAACTCTGCAGAGTGGAAAATGATGGCTTGAAAAGAGCCTGTTGTTGGACATCAACAGGAAACACTAACAGCCTTAAGTGGCATTAAGACCCACTGAAAAGTGTGTGTGTGTGTGTGTGTGTGTGTGTGTGCGCGCGCTTGCGTGTCTGCTGTGTTAGTGTGTGCTGCTAATAATGGGGCTCCTGCTTGATGGACCATATGGGACTATTCTCTCGTAAAAATTTGGGCAACATAATAGACCATATAGACGGAACAATGCTTAACTGATACACACTCAGCTAACTTACAGGTGTGTGATTGTGATTGTGTGTGTGTGTGTGTGTGTGTGTGTGTGTGTGTGTGTGTGTGTGTGTGTGTGTGCGTGCGTGCGTGCATGTTGGAAGGGAAGCTGGAATCAGATTTTTAGCTAATCTGTTTTATTGCCATTTTGGTAACATGTCTTTATTGTTTATAACTATATTCTGACCAAATGATATCTGAGGTCAGGGAACAACATAAAAAAATGTTATACGAGGCATTTATACCAACATTTTCAATGTGTTCACTATTAGTTTCAGTTTCAGTCTCCTGACAGAGAGGGCTTGATGATCTGGATCAGTGGTTCACCTGGTCAAGCCTCAGGACCTATAGCCCAACTCTTCCTTAATGACAAATCACAACCCAGATTTCTGCACATTTTCAAATAACGAAAGTTAATTCATGAAAAATGGTTGTGAGGAATGGCCACTGAGCAGCTGGATACCAGTGTTGAAGGCAGACACAGAATATGGTTATCATTTTTTATAACTTCAAATTCATAAAGTATAGCATGAAACACAGGATTTGTTCTGGAGTGAGCTTCCACTAGCAGCAACAAAAATACCTTTAAAACCTCCCCAAAGACCACCTTGATCTGAATGACTCACATAGAATATGATTGTCAAACTTTTAACATCATTCTGACTTGTTTCATCTTTAGTGTGTTCTTAAACTCAGGTTTAAACCCTTTTTTTACTTTGTGTTTCTTATTTTTACAGATGACCACAGGTTCCATATTGACTCGGTGAGATCAATCAATATCAATATGTTTCCTGCATATACGTACATGGTGAACACACAACAGAAATAAGCAGGATTATCCTTCAGTTCTGTGTTGCCCCGTTCATTGTTACTTGGTTCAATAGAACCAAGAAAAACAGAAATTATCCACATGATTAGATGACAAACCTGCCAGAAACACACACCTCACCCCCTCACACACATACACACACACACACACACACACACACACACACACACACACACACACACACACACACACGCACACACACACACAAACACCAGTCACACAGGCTTTCAGTTCATGGACCATTTGACTCTAATACATGCTCCTCTTTATCTTTAACCCCTGAGCGAGCCAACGTCCCCCTGCTGAGCTTTGCAATAAGATGCATTGACACACAATCTGAGCTGCTGCAGACAGAAACGAGGTCAAAAGGTAAGTATACATCTCTACACAGGATTAGTTTGAATGTGATACTACGTCCAAAACAAGTCCTCCAAACTAAATTACAAGAACATGTTTATGAAAAAATATTTCTGAAGCTGTCGGATAAGTCTTTAATCTGACTCCTCTTTTGTTCAACTTTGATTTTTTTACTCACTCAAAGTCTTTGGAGATTGCTGACCAATGACCACATCAGAGGGAAACAAATGTTTGCACCCAAAAGAGGAGATCTCTTTGGGAATCACAAAGCAACACTGTGCTTGAAATGTCTAAAGGCATTGTCCACGTTGGCTGTGGTTCATTTTCATCAATGTGCCTTCAAGCTCTCCCTGTCACTAACAGATATCATGTTTATTACTTGCTTCTACTCCGGGTTTATCTGCCTGAAGTCTTTTATACCCTGTTTTCATTTTGTAATGTCTGTTCTGCACTTATGAGTACTAGCAAGTTTCATCTTTTCTACAGTATATGCCACCCTGCGGAAACTTTGAATCATGTTCTCCATTGCTATACTGCCTTTTATACAACAAATTTGCAATTTAGTTTTTAAAGAAAACTATATGGATGAAGTTATTAAGCGTGACGTGATGTCAGCGCACACTTATGCAATGTAA